CATGCGGACGCAGCCACTGGGGCCTTCGGTGGAGCTCCCTATGGGGCCACGAAACGTGTGAGGGGTGTGCCGAAATGGGTGCGGCGCCGCCATGCGGACGCAGCCACTGGGGCCTTCGGTGGAGCTCCCTATGGGGCCACGAAGCGTGTGAGGGGTGTGCCGAAATGTGGACTGCGGTACGCCTTGTGGACGCGGCCACTGGGGCCTTCGGTGGAGCTCCCTATGGGGCCACGAAACGTGTGAGGGGTGGGAGGAGGGAGGAGGGAGGAGGTGGAGGAGGAGGAGGAAGGAAGGAGAGGAGAGGAGACGCGGGGCACCGTCTCTTCAAAACGAAGACCCAACACCACAGGATGGTTGGGAAACAACGTTTTTGGGTTTTGGGTTTCCGGGGTCCGCCACAACGTTCCATATACTCGGCACTGGTTGGTAGGTCGATCCTGTCAAATCAAGGGTACCCTTGTGTCCTGTGTATCGCGACCCATGCTTCCTATATTCCTATGGCAATGTGGCGCTGCCCTCTCGCGTGTCATGTCCAAACAAGTCCGACTGCAACAGCGTTTCGCTAGGCAACTCTCATAGAAGCACCGCAGGACCACGGAAGAGTCCCACAGGGGGGGGCGGGGAGCCCAGGACCGCCCACCGAGATCGCCAGGTCCGGCAGCTGTGTCGCCCCCCCGAGAGTCTTTTGCAGGCTGCCTAGGAGTCGTGCTCTCGCCCCCGTGCCAGCTACATCTTTGGCCAAGGCGGCCACGACCTCTTGCAAGCACTACGCTGAGGTGCACATGGCCGCGCTCACCTCACCGTCTCGTCACGTTGCCACTGTCTGATATCATGCTCAGGCTGTTTCTTCGCCTTTGCCGCTGTGGTGGTTTGCCAGGGTATGCTGTACCACGTAGCTTTCGACGCGTAGCTCCCACCACATAGTTCAAACCACCTAGCTCACACCACGCAGCTGACACCACATAGCTTACATCACATACATTGCACTGGGTGCCTTGCGCCACAAAACGTATAGTACACCGCGCAGTTTGCACAACACGTATTATACCTGCACGGCACTGCTTACACGACATAGCTTGCTCCACACCGTTTACACCACGCAGCTTGCACTACTTTGCTCATGCATCCGCGCTGCGATAACTTATTGTTGGGGTACACGCAGGCAGCCATCGGCATCGGGGCCTCCGCGCGCTCCCACCTGCAACGACGAGCGGCAGACGCTCGCGCCCGCGTGGCTTCACTGCTGGCGACACGTGGCGAGTGACAAAGAAGCGCGCGCATCTGCCAAGTTAGATTCAGCATCTGCGCAGGTACCTTTTTGCCACCTCCCGTGTAGTGGCCCCAGAATCGGAATCAACAGCCCTTCATCGTTCTCACGCAGACCTTCCAGGAGACGCTTCCTTAGGACAGGACTGGCGATGGCAAAACATGCGTCGCATCTCGGCGGGGTCGCGACTTTCAAGCGGAGTCTGCCAAGGCGAGGACGACAATGTCGAGCGCTTGGGCGCGTCGCCCTGTTTCTTTCGACTGACTGGTCGAGCGAAGAATGTGCGCCGCGGCTAAGCAGGAACGCCACTCTCGAGTGAACTCTGCGCGGCGCGCAGGCGTAGGACTACGGTCAGGAACGTTTACTTAGCGTGTCGCGCCGCCTGTTCTGGCCCAGCACGCCTCGGCGCGACACGCTATGCTTTGCAGTCCCCAATTGTCAGCGTCCCGAGCATTTCCCACCTGTCGCCCCATGCATCGGAGCGGCACGCGATCCGCTTGCAAGGCACTGCGTGCCGCAAGGGCCGCCGCCGCGACACGCTAAGCAAAGTGACGTTGACCGAACGGGGGTGAAGGGGGGGATGAAGGGCGATGGGATGATGAACGAGAGCTCCTGATGCCTCACTCCCTCCTGCCGCCCTGCTTCTCCTCCCTCGCGAGGGGGGGGTGTCAGATTCGCATCGCTTGTGGGGGTCCTCCTCTCCCACGCCAGTCCTTCTCCGGCGCGCCTCGTCCTCCTCGGGTCCTCCTCCCCAGGTGGGGAAAAATCCAAGGGGGGGGGAGGGGAGTCAGATACGTATCCGTCCCTGGGGGTCCTCCTCCCCCTCCCCTCCCCTATCCCGCGCCGGTCCTCCTCCGGTCGTTCTCCTCGGAGGGGGGGGTGCACAGGGGGAGTCCTTTCGCTCCTCCCTCCTCCTCCTCTTCCTCCTCCTCCTCCTCTTCCTCCTCCTTATCTCAGCCTCCTCCTACTCCTACTCCTCCTCCTCCTCCTCCTCCTCCTCCTCCTCCTCCTCCTCCTCCTCCTCCTCCTCCTCCTCCTCCCCCTCCTGGTCGTCGTCGATTTTTTCCGGGTCGGCGGCACCGACCATCGGGCCTTCGCAATAAGAGAAAGATCGCCAAGATCCCGGAGGTGCAGGCACTGTTTCGGGAAGCGGTGCCTGCAGTGCTTGTAGCTGTCATGGTCGGGCGAGTGTGACGGGGCCCTGGGACACACAAATACCTAAAGACACACGAATAAAAGGACTCCCCGTATTTTCCCATATGTTCTGGGTTATTGTCTTCCCCCCCACTTCCCATATTTTCTTATATTTTCCTGGGAGTCAACGATTACTTGTGTCTGTGTGTTTTTCCCCCCTCCTGAAACTGTCTGCGGGAGTGGGCAGTGGCTGGCCTCCTGCTCATGCCCGAGGGTGCTGCGCATCGGGCCAACAGAAACGCGTGCGCTTCTGTAGTCTGCAAGCCTCGGGTTCCAAAAACGTGTGGTTTCGGCTCTTCCGTAAGCCTCGGGCCCAGCACAACATGCGGGCTCTCGGCCCGCAAGCCGGGGCTTGACCTGTCTCGCGGCACGTCCCCGGGCGCGCCCGTGGACACGACCCCAGGCACGCCAGTAGGCAGGCCCCTTACTCGCCTGCAAGACCTTGCCATTAAGTTACTGCAGTGAAGAACACTAGGTCAGAAAAGAAGCTACTTGCTGACCCCAAGGAGCCTCTGGGCGTACGAGGAGCGCACCGCGAATGGAACAACAGTGGAAGGAACCACAGAAAAGCGAGCCCCTTCCGAGCCCGAACGGCCTGTGGTTTCAGCGGCTGGGCTGTGCGGCCATTTGGACGAACCTCAACGCGGCCCCTGACACGTTATGGTCACGTCCCCTGATACGCTTCTTGGAAAATACTTTCCTCCTCCCGCAAGGGGCGGCACCATCGCGAGTGCAAGAACGGGCCCCGCTCGAGCATGTCAAACTCCACCAGAACTTGAGGTGGCGGACTCCGCCGGCGTGCAAGGGAAAGCGCCCAACTTACCCTTGAGGCACGTTTTCACGTCGCAGCGTGGCAGGGGCAATTCGCACGCGCTCTCGGGCAAGCTGGGTAACGCCTTGACACACATACACGCAGACTGTCACACAGACTTTGTTGACGTCGCGGCCACGCGCGCGGAGGTGTAGCGCAGGTCAAGCTGGGCGGGAGCCGCAGCACCGGCCCAGCTCACGCAGCGTGGAGACGCTGACACACGCGCACACACACACACCGGGCACGCCACACGCACCCCCGATGCGTCCCCAGACACAGCCCTCTGGCACGTCCCCCCGCACGTGCCCTGGCACGTCGCCTGGGCACGGCGCCCCGGACACGTCTCCCGACGTGCAGCTCGCCACGCCCGGTGCCTGCAGCGCGGGCTCGCCACCCCCGCGAGGGCGCGCGGCTCGCGGCCGGCTCGCCTGCACTTCGCTGGGCGGCTCGCGGGGGCGCGCCACCCCTTGAGCGGGCAGGCGCGGAAAGCACCTGGGACGATCCTCGAAGGCGCCAGGGCCTGGACGAGGGACGCGCTCGACAATACTCGAGCGGGCACTGTCGCCATGGGCGAGCGAAGCGCCCACCACGTGGAGAAGCCCACGCCCGTGCGCCCGTTGAAGGCGGGCGTGTCTGCGGGATTGGGCTGTAGGCGCTTGCTATGCAGACGTTTGCACTCCTGCAGCGGCCGCGAGGGCAACGTTGAACTGATGGATCCGGGATGGCCCCGTCGAGGCAACGTGCTTACATGGACACTTCTTACGCCGACCGCCGAACGCAAACGGGACGATCCCGCGACGCACCGCCGCCTGTTTCCGGGGCCATTCCCGAGCGGGCACACATTGAGTTCGAATACGTGGGTCATGAGGGCAAGATGAAGCTGGTGGCCCGAGGGAGGGATCCGGTGGCCACGCTTTGAAGTATTTGGCCATTTGCATAAACCTCTGGCGACGTGGGGGTAATAGGTAATACGCCCATCGCGGGTATTGACACAGGTTGCCATGTCGTGAGACTTCGGGATGCACACGGACGGCTCCCCGAATACAGTCAACCCGTATAATAAGGACGCACGATAAGGATGCAAGGACCTTGGAAGGTCATGTCGACACTTTGCCAACGGGGCGCGGCCAGCGAGAGCGGCCAAGGATGCGCCGAAGGGGGAGGATGCAAGGGCAACCTTGGAAAATTATTCATGCGGGTTGACTGTAGTCCTAGCTGGCCTCATCAGGCCCTCCGGATAGACAGGGGCGGTCTCAACACCTCAACGCTGGGACTACCAGGGGAGGGCCTGCCTGCGGGCAAACTCGAGCCTTACAGTGCCCATGTCCAGTGGCGCACGGGAGATCCCTGGCGGGCTCTGGACATTGCCGAGGGCAAGTCTCCTTCAAGGAATCTAGTGTTGAAGCGATTAAGAATTTGCGTGCCAGCGGGAAGCTGCTGGACGACCACGGGGTACAGTGGACGTAGCTGTGAGGATGTGACGTGGCGTCTGTGGTGCAGTTACACCCTCGCAGCAACATGTTGGAATGCACATGAGAAAATTCATATCAACGGTCGTGGACGAGCGGCAGATTTTACGGGGCGCCGAGATCAGCCATGAAGAGCTTGGGCTTTGAGATAGCTGCGAGGCTTCCCCTGAGGATGCTGTGAGTTCGTGAACCAACGGTGAAGCAAGCGTAGCGGCTCGATTGCCACTGGTCGCAACCAGCTATTTGGGGTGCCGAGGGCCTCAGGCAACGTCGTCTCAAACCACTCGATCGCGTCGTCGAGATCCTCGACGTACAGGTACTTTCGGGGAAAGTGCCTCTCCTCACAATAATACCAGATAGCAACAACATTCAGGCAGTACATCACCATTCCGAGGAACTCAAAGCAAAGAGAAAAGGCCTTGACATACACTATTATGCCAGAAGCCGTATTGATCACCTCTGGGTCGTCGACGATCTGAACTTTTCTGCCATCGTAATCAGGGGCCACCAGACCCCACCTCTGAGTCGTGGCGTCGAGGCCGACATACTGGCCCACCTGGGCCCACTCGTCACAGTGAACCTTGAGGAGCCCGTGCAGCCCTGAGAGTCCCAGTCCTGGAGGACCCAGAAACGTATCATGAAAAGAAAAACAAAATGCAATTGACAGAAACTTTGGGCGCTCCGCGCGGATTTCTTGGATCCGCGCTGGGCCCCCCCTCCCCGGCGCTGGGCGGCGCCAGAGGTGCCGCAGGAGACCGCCCAGCGCCGATCTGGATTGTTTATGTTTATGGCGGTGCCTCGTCGTCGAGTCGTGCCCGCGAGCCTAGACACTCCTCCCCTGGGGGCCGGAAGTAGGGGGCAGTGAAGAAGCGGTGGAAGCAGGAACGAATGGTAGAAGAAGGCGAGGCTGCATGAACAGGAGACGAGAAGAAGGAAACGAACATGGGAGACGGAGACGAGATTTGATGGTAGGCGAGATCAGTACCATAATGGTAGAAGAAGACAAGATGGGAGAAAAAGGCGAGACTGAAGGTCTGCGCTGATTCTATGGATCGGCTCTGCACCCCTCTCCCTGGCGCGGGGGGGGCTCAGCGCAGGTCCAAGAAATCCGCGCGGAGCTCCAACGGCTTGCGATGTTGCATCTCTCTCCGAAGTGGGTAGAGGTGGGATTGCAGCCCGCTGAGCTCCAGGACACCCCCGCTGCAACAGCCAAAGCACAACCTGGGCGACGACAAATAACACGCCGCAGAGCCCGCCGGCAAGAACGGACCAGAGCCGATACCTCCTCTCAGTATCACACAGATCTGGCAAACTTCCGTGGTCACTGCACTTCAATGTCAAGAACTCACAATAGCCCAGGCAATGCAGCTCAGAAAGTATGTAGCTGACGAATATCGTCCAGCAGCCAAAAGAATTCACAACAACTCCAGCAAGCAGGCTCTTGCCAGGCGAATGCATCCACGCGAGTCTTGGAACCGTGTTGACTCCAGTTATCAACAAAATCCCCATGGTCGGAGCTACCAGCCGAAACCAAGTCCAGCGCACGTCCATACCGAACGGCAATATCATTCGCTGCTGGTGCGTACACACATTCCGGAGGAGCTCCGTGTACCAGCTTGTCTGGATCGAGATCGCAGACACAAGACCAACGCTCGAGAATATACGACCCTGTACTGACGAATGTCTGTGGCTCAAGTTCGAGAAGGTTGACGCGATGTAGCCCCTGCCGCTGGGGAACCAGAATTGGTATGTCTCGCTTGACGGGTTGGCGACGAGCACCCACTCCAGCACGAACACCACAGTGAACGCGAAGCACCAGGCCACTGCCCCGCACATCATCAGCGGCGGCGCCTTCACCTAGGACCGCGAAGACACATGCATCAAAGCTAACCCCAAAAGGGTCTTTAGAATCCCTCCCCAAAAAAGCGAGATGAATGTTGCGGCTGCCTTATTGACGGACCTGTGCCCCACCAACAGCGGAAACTATGTTTTTGTCTTCCCCGCGGAGCCATCCAGCAACGCTCACATGGAAACTCTTGGTTCAGACACGTGGTACTCCGAAACTTTACCCAGAAAGCTCTACCCTGAGAAGGACTATCAAAGTTCAGGCCCCTCGCGGGCCCTCAGAGAGTCCAGCCTCTGTCGAGTGGGCAATACAAAACTATGGCGAGTTCTGAATTGTCCACGCTGGAGAAGTCGCCATGTTGACCGCGCGCGCCGAACACTCCTCATGAGAAGATGCTTACAACTCCTCCCGCGTGCCGGGTAGCCCACAATGCATTATTCCGCTGGAGAGTTACCCCCCAAACATTACCCAGCCAGCCCAACAATAGAGGGAAAATAATCTCCGCCGCCACCGCGACGAGAAGGTTTCAGGACCAGTGTTATTCACCGCCGAGAGATCAGGGGGAGGGTTCAACAACAAAAAGGCCCTTTGAGGTTGCTGCATGGGCGGTGGGAAAACCGTTACGCAAAGAGTCTGGAACCTCGTGCGGACCAATATTCCTAAACATGTCATGTTCTCTTGCTTTGGCTGTGGAGGCAGTCCATACAAAGGAACTGGTGCCCCCTTATCCTGCCCCCCACCCGGTCCGCTTCATTATCCTACTCCATCTTCTCATCCTCCACCCATCATCATCAGCATCAGCATCAGCATCAGCATCATAATCATCATCATCATCATCATCATCATCATCATCAGCATCGTCAGCATCATCTCTTTCATGATCATCATCATCATCGTCCTCTATCTCTTCCTTCTCCTCCTCCCAACCCAGCTCCACCTCCTCCTCCTCCTCCCCGGACCGCGTCCGGGGTCTATCCCGACCCGTTCTTCGAGGCGGTTCCCGCCGTGGCGACGAGAAGCCCCAGGAGGTCCCCCCCCCAAAAAATGAAAAACGAAAGGGAGACCCACCGTTTTCTCCAGTGACCCTCTTTCGATCTTTGGATGCCTGAAGTCCCAGACATCCGATGCCATGATCGTTCAGTACGAGATCCCAGGAAGTGAGGAGGAGGAGGCGGAGTAGGAGGAGGAGGAGGAGATGGAGGAGAAGGAGGAGGAGGAGGAGGAGGGGGAGGAAGAGGATAGAGGAGGCTGGCGGAGAAGGAGGAGGAGAAGGAGGAGGAGGAGGAGGAGGAGGAAGAGGATGGAGGAGGAGGAGGAGGAGGAGGAGGAGGAGCAGGAGAAGGGGAGGAGGAGGAGGGGAGGAGGAGGAGGAGGAGGAGGAGGAGGAGGGGAGGAGGGAAGAGGAGGAGGAGGAGGTAGGAGGAGTTGGGAGGCAGAGAAGGAGAAGGAGAAGAAAGGAGGAGGAGAGGGAAGAGGATGGAGGAGGAGGAGGAGGAGGAGCAGGAGAAGAAGGAGGGAGGAGGAGGAGGAGGGAGGAGGAGGAGGAGGAGGAGGAGGAGGAGAAGGAGGAGGAGGCGGAGGAGTAGTAGGAGGACCAGGAGAGGAGAAGAAGGGGAGGAGGGAGAAGAAGAGAGGAAGAACAGAAGAAGAGGGCAGGAGGAGGAGGAGGAAGAAGATGAGAGGAGGAGGAGGAGGAGGAGGAGGAGGAGGTAGGGGGAGGAGAAGGAGGAGGAAGACCACGAGGAGGAGGAGGAGGAGGAGGAGGAGAAGGAGGAGGAGAAGGAGAAGGAGGAGGGGGAGATAGGAGAAGGATGGAGGAGCAGAAGGGGGAGCAGGAGGTGGAAAGGAGGGAGACAAGCTTGGTGCGACCGCGCCACTTCTCTGCCATCGCAATTCTATCCCTCCCTCTCAGGCCCTCCCCCTTGCGCTGTTTGTTGCTCTCGATCAACGGACGCGCGTCATAGCCGAGCTGAGCCTCCCCCAAAAGACCCCATCGCGCTGCGTGCAATCGGAGAGGAGGAGGAGGAGGAGGAAGAGGAGGAGCGCCCGTACCTCTGATGGGGTTCAAAGGAGGAGGAATTGGAGGAGGAGAGCAGGAGGAGGAGGAGGAGGAGGAGGAGGAGGAGGAGGAGGAGGAGAAGGGGAAGGAGGAGGAGGAGGGGGAGGAGAAGGAGGAGGACCAGGAGGAGGAGGAGGAGGAGGAAGAGGATGTGGAGGGTGAGTAGGAGTAGGAGTATGGACAGGCGGAAGAGGAGGAGGGAAAGGCGGAACATGTGGAACGAGGAATACCAGGACGAACAGCAGCAGCAGCAGCAGCAGCAGGAACTGGAGTGGAAGGAGCCGCAGGAGCAGGCGGACCAGGAAAAAGCGGAGGGGAGGGTAAATGAGGGGACGCCAACTACGAAAAAGGACTCGGAACCAGAAGCGTAATTCTGAACGACGGGAACGAAAGGAGCAGAGTGGCGGTCCGAACATGGGGCCCGCGCTGCAGCGGCAGCGCCGTTTGAAGCACCTGAAACAATCGGATTGTGAACAACACATACAGAGCATTCACTTGTGAGCGCACAGTGTGCACAACAAACAGCAAGACGCGGAGAAAAACGGCCATCATCCAGACGGAGCAAGGGGACAGAGGAGAGAGTAGCACCAGCAATGTGCAACTGTTCAGAGGGATGGGGAGAGTCGGGAGGAAGGAACCTCGCGAACAAAGAAAATGATCCCAGGTCGAGGGGTCACAGGCACCCCCCCCTTGATGGGATTGGGGGGCACGGCGGCAACGACGACGACGTCGCCGACGCCGACGCCAAGGACCACGACGAGGCCTACGAGACGCGGACGCCGCGCGGACGCCGACGGAAGACGGCGACTGCGACGACGACGACGACGACGACGACGACGACGACGACGACGACGACCCCTACACTCACAGGGGGTATGAGGGGGAGGGGCGGGGGCACCGGCAACCCCCTCGACCACGCCACGCCTACAGGGCCAGCCACGACCCCGGGGGGGGGGCGATCCCATTCTCGAGGCCTTCGCGAGTCTCACTCGCGTAGCCATTCAGCGGGGGAGGGGGCCTCGATCCAATAGTTGTGCTTGTGTGGGTGGGGGCAACCATGGATTAACACTGAGGTTTCTGGGCCCTGCCCCATGAGGCTTCGCAAGAATCTCACAGGACAACGTACAGTTGATAATCTTCCAGCGGGTGCTGCAGGACAAGAACATGCACACAGCGTTTAGGCCGCCATTGGCCACTGAGTGGTGGACAAGCAGAACCCAGACCCCCGACGTCGGAATTCTTTTTACAACGTCGACACCCAGAGGTCTGGACACCTTCCCCGTGACTTGTTCGTCATGCTGAGTCTGTGCTTGACGGTCCGGGGGCCCGGGGCCCCTGGGACGCCGAAACGATAGAAAAGCTTCCCGTCGCGATCTTGTCACAGCGCGAGGGGGTCCCGGAACACCTCACAGTGGACATGTTCCTGGCCCCGAGGGGAGGAGGGGACGCGGGTCGGGGATGGACAGACCCCCCTTTAGTAAAACGTGGTTTAGTGAAAACGACCTGAGGCCCAAACCTGGCGGGCGCAAGCCTGGAAAATAACGGCCACGGCGCCCTCTCGAGAGCCGAAAACGGACAATTCACTAATCGGCGTGTCACTGTTGGGGGTTCTGTCCACCCCCGAGCGGGGGAGAAGGGAGGAGGCTCTCCGGCGGCTCGCCCGCTCGACCACCACGGCCGGGCGGGACCTCGGCGAGGGCGGCGGTGGGCGGGAGCGTGGCGACGGCGGGCTCGCGAGCTCCGACGGTCTGCGCGGTCTCGCGCAGGGCTGCCGACGGGAGAGGGAAGGCTCCCGCCGGCAGAGAGGACAGAGGGGGGGGTCTAGAAGTGGAGGCCTCATCCGCCTGCCCCCCCATCCTCCTCGTCCCTCTTCCTCCTTCTCGTCGTCCTCCTCCTCCTCCTCCTCCTCCTCCTCGTCCTCCTCCTCCTCCTCCTCCTCCTCCTTGTCCTCCTCCTCCTCCTCCTCCTCCTCCATGTTCCCCTTGTAGATAACGTCTCACTGTCGCACCCCGAGGCCAGTTTTTAGGGCGGGCCGGGCGTTTCGCCTGAGACTTCCTCACCATTTATGACTGAAGCTTAAAAAGTGGCAACAGCTTCACAAATGGAGGGCTGGTGGAAGGATTCAGGATAACGCGGTGTTGAAGTCCCATGAATGGCGTACTGTCGCGATTCCGGATCGTCAAGACGCAGCAGTCAGGTTGATACGTGGCGTTGGCACGCTTCAGGATCTTCAAATGGTTGTCTTCCAACGAGGAAGTGCCCTCAACTGACATGAACCGTTGTAGGGGCCTAAGAAGAGGGAGCTTGGAGGGAGGGTTCATTCCAACATCGTTGATGACTGTATGGTTTACACTAGTCCTCCTCCTCCTCCTCCTCCTCCTCCTCCTCCTCCTCCCCCTCCTCCCTCCTCCCTCCTCCCCGCCTCCCTCTCCCTCTCCCTCCTCGTCTCCCTTCTTCCTCCTCCTCCTCCTCCTCCTCCTCCTCCTCCTCTTCCTCCTCCTGCTCCTCCTCCGCCCTCCTCACCCACCCCCGGTTCTTCCCCTCGTCCTCTTCCTCCGCCTCCGCCTCCGCCTCAGCATCCTAATCGGGGGCCCCCTAGAAGAAACGACACCTGCATAAACAGACACTGCAATAGCTCCGCGCGGATTCCTGCCATCAGCGCCGGTCCCACCCCCTGTGGCGGCGGATCGAGCCAGGGGCGGCACCGGAGTAGCCGCCAGGAGGGTCCAGCGACGATCGAAGAGATCCGCACGGGCGAGGAGTGGGAGGAGGAGGAGGAGTGGGAGGAGGAGGAGGAGGAGGAGGAGGAGGAGGCGGAGGAGGAGGAGGAGGAGGAGGAGGAGGAGGAGGAGGAGGAGGAGAGCGGCGGAGGAGGAGGGCGGAGGAGGAGGAGGAGGAGGAAAAGGGGGAGGAGGAACAGGAGGAGGAGGAGGA